TGTGAAAGTAGATAAGCGAATAGTAAACCGCTTATGCCAACTGAAACGCCTTTCGACATCCTTCAGCGCAATACAAGGTATCACCTACGGATTTTATCCTTCATGCTTTTCTCTCTGTACTTTCAAGCTTTTGTAGTGTAACAAATTGGACCGCTCCCGCAGACACAATGGAGATTTCTCTGCCATTGTTGGAAGCAAATGAAGGGAAATCCTCAACATTAGTATTGAGAAATTTTCGTGGATGTTACTATCAACGTCGAATTTCCTATCTGGTGTGTTCTGAACTCGACAGCTCAAATGCTTGAATGTTTAATTATTCATTACTGGAAAAATTGTAATGACTAAGCGCTCCAATTTCTAAGTGCTCAGAATTTAAAATGGTTTTCGAAGTGCACAAATTTAGCCTGTAAATAACTTCGGAAGAAAAAAGGTGCATACTGACTCGAATGAATGATTTGAATGAGAAATACGATACGATAGACTCAGAACAATGAAAGTATTCAGTGCGCTGAGACAAAAAGCAATTGATTACTGGCTGAAGTGAAAAATTGAGAAACAAATAAGATGAAGTGTGTCCATAGATGTCATAACAACGAATGAGTGGATGACAGTGATGACGTTATGACTGACCGATGGGAGAAGCGAATGTTGGAGAATGGACAGCGCACATTCCGATCTGAGCGTTATGCTCTTCGGGTACGATCGCAATCTTCCTGAAAGTGAAACAGATCATATAGCATAAAGACTTTCGTTCGTATTTTTGTTGAGCAAACGCGAGGTGTTATTATTCTACATTCGCTTGTTTCTTCTTCATTCTATTTGTTATTCATTACACTTCTACGTGATTTCTGTGCGGTTGGTCTCTACGTGACATACTTAGTGGAAACCTCATAGGAAGCGGCCCTGAGGAAGACGAAATCCGCCGAAACGTAAGCTTAATCGTGAACAAAGAATAATAACACCTCGCGTTTGCTCAACAAAAATACGAACAAAATCACTTGATCAATGTCGAGGTTAATAGAAAGTCGGTCGTGGCAGTTACTGCAAGATGTACCATATAGACTTTCCTTCGTATCTATTAATAGTCACATTTTCACAATAGTGATGAGACATCTGCAAAACACCGGACCGAAGGTGTCTGCGCTGGGGATCGAACAAGCTATTACCTTTTCCGGAGGATAACGCATTCACACCCATACCAGCGAGTCCTTCATTTCGCCTTTCTTACAGTTACTTTTCTAATAGCCAGTGTTATCAGCAATTACCCATAAACGGGATTGAAGAGGATGCAGTCGAAATCACAATGTTAACTTTCTACTTACTGCCTGCTACAATACAATTTTTCACGGCAAGCTTAAACCACGATGGTTCTGAGATATTTTGAAAACTCTGCACTGCAGATTAGCCTCCAGAAAGGGTAATAGCAAGTTCGATCCCCACCGCAGACACTTGCAATACGGAGTTTTGTAAATATCTCAGCACTACTGTAGCTGGGTTTCACATAATACCCTGCCGTGCAAAATTGTGGTAGGCGGTAAATAAAAAGTCAACATAGTCATATTTCTTTTTCTAATTTTTGAATACCATATAATAAATCCATGTACATGATCTCATTACAAAGGTCCGCAGTGGCTATTGGAACATACGCGTGGTCGCTCTTTCAAACCCGCGCTGCACAAACTAAGCTTCCCATCCTTCAGAAGTGGGCAAATTGTCGCTAGACACACTTTTCCCTATCTCTCAAAAAGCAATCTTTATACCTCTGTGGTATGAAACTTTTTCCATGTAAAGTGTCACATGTTCTATTAGTTGGTTTAAAGTGTAACAATCTCACAACTGGCGCTCTAAACATTTGTACGTCATAATGATTTCGTAAGGTCAAATGTTGGCTGCGTTGTGTCATGCACTATATAGAGACCGTCATCAATTGGCTAGTCATTCCGCCTATCTGGCTGTGATGGATTTTATTCCCTTGTACTATCTTAGTTGCGATATTATTTTCACAATTTCATCATATTTTTACCCATATTGTTCGTAGTTGATCGTTGATCCCACTGTCATTATTGTATTAATATTGCTGATATAAAAGTTTAAGTGATCAAGTTTGAGCCTTCGAGTTCTTGAACTGCGGCACGATAAAAGCTTTGAACGGTAGGACGGAAATAGAGAGATATACCATATATAAACTCGTTAATGCAGCAAAAAAAAATGCAATAAACTCTTCTTTAAGTAAACGGAAAGGAAGAACTCGCTCTGAACCACAAAGGCCGAGGACTACTTTTGTGGTCAAGACCTGGGAACGCTCCAAGAGAAACTGTCGCAGGATTTAGGAGGGATTAACGCGACCGGAATTCAGTGACAGAAGGACTGCTAGGATCTACACGATTTCTGTGATCGTATAAAACTAAGCTTAATTACAGCTGAGCAAAACACTTCATAATAATTTTGTTTCTCAAAAGCCTTTTTTAAGCAAAATGAGATTTCAAGCAAGCAGAATTGAGCTAAGATGTGTGAAGACTTGCATTGGGCACTAATTCGTCTTAGAAAAGACAGCACTGTAAGATCACAATGCACAGTTGACGATTTGTGCCTCTGCAGTTCTAGGTCACAATGTTTAAAGTTTTGTTTTCTGCCTTCTATAATTTTCATGGCAGGTTACTAAGCGAAATACAACCACAACGTTGCTGAGATATTTGCAAAACTCTGGACCGCAGGTGTCTATGGTGGGGAACGAACGCGCTATTGTCCTTTCCGGGGAGTAACGCGTTCCCCGCTGACGAGTGATTGCTGTGGCAAAAAGATCGATAGAAATAGCTGAGAGACAGGCGAAACAAAGGACCTGCATGGTGTGGTGGTGAAGTTTGCAAATATCTCAGCAACGCTGTAGTTCTAGGTCACTTGAGAAGCTCGACATTTCCATTGGGGCGCCTAACAAAAAAACCGTTCAAAAAGAGCATCGGAGCAAAAGAATGATAGTCTTAATGTCAACTGTGCACCACCAGCACCCAAAGAGGACGAATGGAATATGTCGACGGCCGCTCGGCTACTCAATGACCAACTTGACCACAGATGACAGATAACTGCGGTAAATACGCAGGTCAATACAAGTTAAACGGCACTGTTTTTCATCCTTTTTATACTAAAATTGTGACGTCCTTGAAACATAAACCACATCATGTTGAATTACTTAAAAGGAGCATACCATATGCTCATTTTTGATGAGAGAAAAAGTTTAAGAAAGAGGAAAAGCCTAAGTTCTACCATGACAATATACAAAACTTAGCTAAACGAGCAAACTTTGTGGATTCATTCATTGAACATTATGGTGTTCCACGTAACCTAAAATTATCGCTTACTTATAGTTGTGATACATATCGGAAATGCATCCAATTAGAGGTACTGTGGTGGGAATCTCATTGTTCGGAGGTTTCGCACGTTCAGCAAAACCTAAAATACACATTTTGGCTATCTTTCCCATAGATTTCATCACATATTTCTGTAACAGTATTTTGTGCTAGTACGCTTTGTACTAACTGATAATGATACCGACTTCTACTGGATGGATTGTCCGGAAAAACAAGTTGCTATCACCGGACAGTCACTATTATTAACAAGCAGCATCGTGTATAAAAGGGCATCGCTGAGTGAGTATGGCTCATTCTACAGAGATGCTCCACTGAGGAAGACCCGGCTCGATGCGCGACGAAGACGCCATCTCGGAAACACAAACAACTGTGCACGATTCTCTTGGACCATCGGCTCTGATGGAGAAACCATCGAAACGTTAGCCGATAATAAACATTAGTTATCAACCTCATGTAAGCTCATCAAAGAAAGAATACATAATATTGTCCCCATTGTTTAGACGATCAAAAATCTCATATGTATTGCAGAGTTCCTCTCAACGGTTTACTGCCTCATCGTGGCTAGCAGGTGTCCCTGAGTGTCGGACTGCGATATACAGCGGTGAACTTATCCCCTGGCAGGGTCTCCCAAGCTGAGAAGGAGTCCGGCGTTTCCATCAGAAAGCTTAGCTAAGAGTAAACCAATACCAGGATCCACCACCATCCTAGTATCAAAGTCACACGGTGGCAAATCTCCCTCTGATCCACAAGGGCTGCGACTGACTGTGGTGGTGAAGACCTGAGGCGCCAAGCTAACTTTGAGATTCCAGGAAATCACAATGGCTTAACCAGCAAATTTCCGTAAAATGGAGATTATGATGGCGCCCGCACAACCACTGAGAACGGGCCATTCAAGTGTCAAGTGTCAAAGTATTGCAGAGTTATAAGTGAGCTGCATTTAAAATAATCGATGACTGTTGGTTCTTTGTCTTTCAAATCTTATTCCTCATTGAATTAAACCTTAGATAATAGTTGAGATTCGATGAAATACTTAAATAGTGAAACGTTCAAAAGTTGTTGTAAAAGAATTGACGAGAAGAGACATGTCAAACCTCCGATGAACATCTGACTGCTGGTGGTGCCGATTGGCGATTCGTCGTTCAGCGTCTGCTTATCACCGATTTCTTTATCATCAACTCGTAAACGAACACTAAAACAATAAATGAATGGAGATGATATTGACTTCTTTATTTATTATTTACGTAGTTTTAAGTTGAACGTGTGCTTGGAAACAGACAAATCTGCACATATTAGACATTGCAAGGCAAAGCTAAGTAATAGAGCTGGAAAATGCTCTTAACTTTTCGATTTCTTACTGCTATGTAAATAACCCTTGTAGAAACAGGAACAAAACTATTCGCCGCAGGAAAACGAGAATTCAAAGGAGAGAAAACTACTCCTTCATCAATGAAAAATGATTTACATATGGACACTGTGTATTTTTCTTGCTCTAATGAGTGCTAGTGTAAAAATTTCTAGGATAAGAAGTGCACTTAGGTACGAATGGCTTAAAGATAGGGCTTCGTGATGGCAGTAATAGACTACACTACTAGCGCTAACGTTAAAGCTGTGTTTATTTTTTTAAGGCGAATTCTCTTACGTTTTCCCTTTCCGACTCATGAACACTGAATGAAGTTGTCCGTCGTTGTACATGTGACCCGACCGGATGGTGACAACGTCTTTGCGAGATGACGCATCCTGAAAATCGACATCGAATTCGAAAATTGCTCTCATTACTTGGAAGTTTAAATCCTCAAGATTGATTTTCAATCTTTGACTTGAGATTTTATGCTCTTTCTACTTCTTCCAACATCTTATCGAAAGAACAAGGAGAAAATCTTGCATTCCATAAATTCTTTGAGGTTCTTGAATTCTTCGATTGACACCATTAAGTCCCATCTTTTATTAAATATTCCACTCCTTGTTTAAGTATTTCTTAAGCATTTTAAGAAAATAAGAAAATAGCTTTTCAAGGTAAACATGTTAGCAACAAAGAACAATACGGATAATGCCAAGAAACAAAGGAGGAATAGAGGATGATAAAAAATTAGAAACAGAAGGCGGAAAACGGAAAAATAGAACAGAAACAGAAATTAGAAAAATAATAGGAGTAAAAAACGAACTTTAAAAATTGAAAATGAAAAGACATTCATACCTTTCCAAGATGAAGAACAAGATAGCCTCGGAACAAATAGAAGGCAAGATAACCCTGAAAATAACCGAAACGACGATCTCGATCTTAGCTAAAGATTCCACTACAAGTTACGTTGGACAGGATGAAGGAATTCACAGAAGAGAACCTTTCCATTTGCAATGTGACTACTTCGCCGTTTGCGGCGTGAAGTGGAAAGCCTTGAGGACTGGAAAATGAGGGTGCCGTTTTCTTCCTTAGTGCGAAAGCCAAACGCAAATCTGGAATTCAGCATAATTAGAAGTAGAGGATGTGCTGGTGTTGGAAGCACACAACCCAAACAATAAGTGAGGCATTCGTCGATCGATTTAGCAACCAAAAGATATATGACATCATTTTAGAGAACAAAAAATTGAGCAAGGGCAAAAAAACACGTTAAATTAATCAGTAAGATCTCACCCAGAATCTCCAACGAAAAGGAAAGTTTTCTAGCTACTGTTATAGACAAGTGATAAAGTAGACCCGGAATTTGAGCAGTAAAACACCTCAGAAAGAGAAAAGAGGTGAAAAATTCCGAAAAAAGATGAGTAAAGAAAAAGTCCTTGGTATCAATCCATTTCCGACGTTTTCCAATTTCCATGTTTACTAGACCTAAGAATAACATTCCAACGAAGGTTTTTCTAGAAATAATAAGCTCACGTGGAATTATTATCCATTACGACTCCTCGCTGAGAGAGAAATCCTGGTCGCGAGAATCCAACTATACGGTCGCTGAACATCAATTTACTTTTTTCTGTTTCTGAGAATTGGCAACCGGGATCACGGCGCTGCCATCGTACTGGATGGTCGAGGTCTAGCTCTGATGCCTAGAAAATTTTCGAGATAGCGTTGACTAATCCTTACAGGATGCACCACGCATTCCACATTATCAAGCGTCGTAGACCGGACGCGTATTTGGGCTACATAATAAATTGCAGAGGTCTGTCGATGTATCAAGTCAATCTTCTCATACTCCTAGACAGATCTAGTAACTTTCCGACCCCAAAATGATTAACGGCTCGGTTTACCGAGGCGATATCGAACCAACATCCAGGTGCGTATTGCAGAGCACCACTGTATTACGCGCGCACCTCACAATGATAGATTAATGAAACTGGAAGAAACCAGAAGTATAGATTCGTGACTTCCGGAAAAATTTATACCTGCGACGGCTTCACCCTCAGAATACATCCAAAGAATCCCTTCCACTGTATATCAGGACTGAATCTCTCGGTTTTCAATGATGCGGGTACGCCGGCAACGTAGTGGAGATCCGTCTCTACGTTAAGTGCTGTATGTTCTCCGGATATAGTGGTCGAGAATCGATCAGCATCACTGTCAACCTGAAAAATCAATAGAGCGATACACAAACATAAGAAAGCGTCGAGTTCTTCTCTTGTATCAATACCTACGCCCACTTTGAAGTCTTAAGCACTCAGAGTGGCACTTTTTTTTTAGCTAATTTCCCCAGTCAGGGTCGTAGTACTATACCAAAAACGCCAGATGCTTACCCACAGTCAGCAACCGATATATATATATATATATATATATATACATATATATATATAAGCACTGGGAGTGAAAATTAAAAAAGGAAAGGCTCTAACTAATAGTAAATTTCTAACGCCAAATTTTTTTGCGATTTAGCTTGACTGTCCATCATAAATATCCATGAACTCTTACTGACGGTAATTTCAGAACTGCGAGTCCAAATCAGGTGCACACAGCACGTCACTGCATACATGTGCTTTAGCCGAAGTAACTATGATTGTTGACTAACATTTCTTTCGCCTTACCTATACTTCATAATCATCGAAGGCCCCTTACCTACTTGATACAAGAAAGGAGCGAGATTCCACTGAGTCTCCACTAAGCAGTCTATTTCACAATTGACCACAGTGTAGTACACCATGGATCTGAAGAACGGAAAGGAACCTGTGGAATGCACGCTGCCTCAAGGATAGAACCTAACGAACTGCCCATGGGTAGCTGCTTTCCGAAAACACCAAAACTAATAGATTTCATAAAACACTGTGTTAGTACTCGGAAAGAATGGAGCCTAGTGGAGAACTCTGGCGAATGGTACGGACGAATTTACTGTTCAGTCGAGTCGTAAGTGGAAGGATAAGTCCAAGACTTGAAAAAACGGTGAGTAATTGAAGCGGCTGCTTTCTGCGATTGAAACTCAGGCTTTTCTTCAGTAGATTTCGTGAAAAACATTTGCTAGAGTACACGACGTGTTAGTTTGACTTTTCATGCTCTCAAGTAGGAGATCCACATCCACCCGCCGTATATCAGCAAGAAGGTATAATAAAACAACTACATATCTCTGACTAATCCGACTAATTGTATTTTGACGTTATTTCATATTAGCCAATTGATTCTCTCATTTCAACACTTTTTATGTTTCATTGCTCTAACCATAACAGATTGCCCTACCTGGAGATGAATCTCACCGCCGCTTCGTATCGCCTTTACAGTGTGCTCACGACCATCGATATAGGTTCCTTTAGAAATGAGCTGAGCATGCGATGAACCTCCAAGGTTGATCTGAAAGCAATCAAAACCATTCAATAGAAAAGTGGTACACATGCGAACAAACACAAGCAAACAGGAAAGAAGAAAGCAGTAAATCTGAGAGATGGCAGGAAAATCGATAGAAACATATTTCAAGTCCTTATGACCCTCCAATAACACGGTAAGAATCGATCATCTATGACGCTAATCCAAGGCATCGAAGTTGGAGTTAATTCGCTGAAAAGGCACAACACAAACACACAAAAACCGATCGATTCTATTGAAACCGCGAAGGTCCAGCGCGGAGTACACAATGGAGGTTTTGAATACCTTCTAGTCAATACACCTAGCTTGGCGTTACAGTTGAGAATCGATGACTCCTTGTTACCTTCGAATTTCGTAAGCACTGTAGTTCGTTATAAAGGAGGTAAGAAAAGGAAGAAAAGAGCAAGAAAAAGCGGCAATACACCGAAAAATCAGATGTTATCAAGTAAAAGTAAATCGTGATTCTAAGGAGAATCTTCGTTTTTCCACTATCAGGCAATTTCCAAACTACTTTCGTCGACATTGTCAGATGAAGAACAACCTTTGATGTTCAGTAGAGAATGCCTGATGATGGAATTTAAGCGTTCCAGTGACTTGAAACCTACTGTTTTTCTCGGACGACACCGATATGTGCTCATTTTCATCTGCAGGAATTAATAGATGAAATGATTGAAATACAACTTGCCTTAGCAGCGGCGATCAGGATAAAAGATATAAGACAAATAACAGATATACACGGTATCTTATTGGAAAAGAATTGTGGAATCTAATACCCTGTCTTTCAGTAAATAAATGTTATTCTGCTTACAAAAAGTTACTACGAGTCGAGATATGTGTGCTTCAAAATGAAACGCTCAGAGATCTTCGAACACGTACCAACTGAACTCAGTGCGCGCGGTAGTCAACACTTTAATCACGCTCAGAAACTACACGTTAATATGGCAAATCCTCAGACCACTGAATAAGTTGTTCTAAAGTATCTAAGGCAGATGTCCGCTTTCGCTGGTACATGACCCAAAACGCGGTCTGGTTGGGGACTTCGAGAAGCAAACGGCTATTAAACACTCTCATGACAATGTACACTGCGCTGAAAGAACGACTGACATTTATGCAGATGAAAATACCGTTTATTTGACCGAAAATTAACCTGAGTCCCGCAGAGCACCAAACACTTTACACTATTGGTTGATCAGTATTCGTGCCCTACAGCTTAACATGTCTCAAATCTTCTCTTCAAGTGCTGTTTAACTTCTAAGCTGTTATCAAATATTTAGCTGAATCTCGCTACTCTTCAATGATTTCCGCTACATACTGTGGCGATTCTTCCCAAAGGTTTACCGCCTCATCGTGACTAGGAAGTTTTCCTGAGTGTTGGGCATCCAGGTACGAAACCAGTCGCATGGTGGCAAATCTCTCTCTCTCTCTCTCTCTCTCTCTCTCTGATCCACAAGGGCAGTGACTGCTTTTGGTGGCGACAACCTGGCGCAGACTTTGGTCTGGCTGACCTGGAGACTCCAGGAAACCATAGTGGCTACACCTGCAAAACTCCAAAAAATGGAGATTATGCTGGAGCCCGACAACCAGTGAGCACGGGCCATCCAAGTATCCAAGTACTGTGCCAGTTCTTTTCCGCTTACATTCTTTTTACCGTTAGCTTACTCGTTAATTTTGTTGACTAATTCCGTCTAGTCAAACACTTCAACGAACCTTGAAAACGACGTGTCCGTCTTTTAGATACAACGTGACAAAGTCACCGCTTGTTTCTGAGCCACGGAAATAAAGAAGTCCATTAGGAGAGTACGTGTTAAAAACGACTGTGAACGATGACACGGTGCGCTCGAAGGTTGCCAGTTCGACTTGCGCAAACCCATCTCTGAAAGTCGACCAATTCATTTCCAGAGACTATCACTTGATTTCCCTCTCAAGTTAAGTCCTCCACGTTATATAAATACGTTGCTACAATCACTCTAAATATCCTTTCAAGCTACAGACATCCTAAGTCTGGTAAATCGATATCTAGGAACAATTTTTTTTGCTTTAGTACTTTGTGAGATAGGCTTGAATTTGGTTGCATTACCGGAACATATAGCCTCGTACTGTCGGCTGTGGGGGTGAAGTGGCGCCTTCGCATTCGATTGAGTTACTCGAGAAAGTCCACAGTGGGACGGAGACGTCGTCCACAACGAGGCTGCCAATGGTACCATGAAACTGGAAAGTAATTCAAAACAATTGAAAGACACGGTTTAGATCGGAGACAGTGTTTTCGTTGATGATTTTCATAAGAGTTGTTAGAAGAACTGTTCACTTGATGAACAAACACAATGTTGTTATTAGAATTTTAATTCATCTACAATAGCAGAGGTTACGACGGTTTCGCCTTCAACAGAGACATGAAAGATCAAATTGATAGGCAATCTATTCAGCCAAACACTTTCAACACATCATCGGAAAGAACTTAATACATAAATCTTTATTCGTATGATAAACGGCTTCTTTTAGACACTCACCGCTTTGTTCTTCAAAGATTTTCCAATTATGGTTGGAGACCAGCCAGGCAGAGTCTTGGACTCATACATGGTTGAGGAATGTGTCTGATTTAGGCCAGAAAAAATCGGCCTTAAGTAACGCGTGACCATAGGGCACTCCCCCTTGCAACTGATTTTTAGAATTTTACAATTCATCCAAAACGCTTTAAGCGCCTTAAGCGGAGATGTTTTGCATTCCTTGAGAGGAAAATGTTTTTTGCATCAAAATCATCAATAAGCCTTCGTCTCCTATAGATGCCTAATGGAGTGTTTTACACGATTCCAAGTTTTCTAACTAAGTGCTCTTTTGCATTAACGTGGAGAGATCTAACCGGTTCGCCAACGGATTTGTTCTCGCACGATTAACAAGATATTAGCTGCACCCTACCCGAACTCATGCAATCTCTTCTTCTATCGTTAGAGCAAATTATGCAACTGTGAATTTCGCATTAACGGTTATATAAGTGGTTGCGAACTAGCTGATCTACTAAAGCTTTCGGTGGTATTTTAGTCCCGATTCCTCTAGGCGAGCCCTATCCCAGTGGCGTTTTATAGCTATACCTTTTCTGTTGAAAATCAAGAGCATGATAAACGGAACCTTGTTTTCATTAGGCTTACCATTTTGTGTTTCTCTGTTCTGTTTCTATGTTTCGTTGCTCCACTGAAGGTGGTGTACGAGATTCGGTTAACAGGTATCCGAGTCTTAAGGTTACGTTAGCATTCGACTTGATAGAATTGCAAATCAATAATATTGACCCATTTTACACAAAACAGATACAACTTGTATTCTTTCTTTGATGAGCTTACACGAGATTGACAATGATATTTATTTTCAGCTAACGTTTCGACGTCTTCCTCTTCCTCAGAGCCGATGAACCAAGTCGATGGTCCACGCTTGTTATTCGTCTCGACGTGGCAGCTTCCCTTTCGTGTCGAGTCAGGTCTTCTCAGTGAGCCATCTCCTCGAATGAGGCATCCTCACTCAGTGATGCCAGTGACAGATACAACTTTTTGCATATTTTCTCAAGAAACTTCCAAAATCCATAACCAATGCTGGAACAAGAGGCTTGGTTTCAACCTTATACTAGCGCAAAAATCTGGTTCGCGACAGGTTCGAGAACTGATAAAATCAGAACCAAGAAGACTATCGGTTATGATAAGGGTGAAAAGTTCGTAGCAATTCCTTGTCAGCTAGATGTTGAGATAAGGAAAAAAACCACGAGGAATCCTCGATTTATCGGCCATCATCTGAGAAGGATTTAAAAGTCGGTACCAAAAATTGAACATACAGTAGGTCAAAGAGGAAATCGCGGAGGGTTTGAAACTATCTGTTATTTTGCAACATAGAGTTGAATAATCAACTTACTTATCAAAAATCGCAAGTCAATATCCACTGATGATCTTGAGTCTACCAACCCTTCTACCTTCACGGTTTGACCAATCATCAGTTGTGTAGATGGGCCCACGGATAAGCTATCTCAGCTTATAATATTCATTGAGTGGCCCAAAAACATGCCACCTAATCTTATGAGCACTCGATTGTTCCTAGACCGTCTACGTAACACGTGTCCTAACAGCGCGTAGGTGGAGGACATCGAAGCCAGCGCACTTTACGCTAATATGTCGAGTTACTCTGCAACCTATCTTCGAGCTTATGCAACACGAAGGCAATAAACATGCATAACTTCTCGATTTAGCAGTTGGCGGCATCTTTAAAGAAGTACTTAAACTACTCAATCTTTAGATGGTGCTGGGTATACTTCGTACAAACGAGAAGGTTGTCAGTGAAAAAGCGACTGGCACCAAGTCTTGTTCACTGTCTTTATCTCTGACATGGAAGCACCAGCAATCGATCTCGAGCCTACTGTAGATATATAGATGATTGTTTTATTTTCATACGAGAGGGGATAAACACGTGTTTTGAGTTACTGAATGATCAATTGTCACAGTACATAATATTTACGCGAAAAAAACCAAACAAAAACTGGCTTTGATTTCTGTGCGTTAAAATTAGCCTCTCCGAAAACGGCCACATCACCAAGTGGTACCAAAAGCCAAGTAGTAAGAATATATTTGTTCATTATCTCTCCTACCGCACTTTACAAACAAAATGAGCGCTTGTAAGAAACATGCTTCGAGCAGCCACTAGTATGTGAAGAGATCAAAAGGGATAATCCTTGAAATTGGCGCAGCAAATATCCATTTCCAACGGCTATGAAACCTTAGGTCTTCGGGATAGTTGTATAGGAAGAACCGCTTCCAAATGATGTTTAGCGCGAATAAGGTTCTGTTTATTCTGATTTCCATCTCCAACAAAACAAAGAGAGCTATAAAGTGTTGCTAAAAAAGTGTACGTCGAGAAAAATCGGCAGCAGCGCTTAAATTACAATCGAGCACTCTAAGACGCCAGCTAGTTCGCATCCGTTTGTGTGAGCGTCCATGCGCAAGATAAAACTGCATCGTTTACTTCAACGTAGAGACAGTGATTATATGAGTTCGGGTATGGTGTATCTAATCTCTTATAAATCATGTAGGAATGAATACGTTGAGGAAACGGGTGGACCACTACACGTTCATGTTAAAGAGCACTTTGTTGAGAAAGTTAGAGTCAAAGCGAGCGCTCCATTAGGCACGCATAAGACGAGAAAGTATAAGGCGACTGGGCTCCAACAACAGGAGAAGGGCTTAGAAAAAACGAAACCGTAAATGTTTAAGAAACTGTTTATTGCGTGAATGAAAGTTTATGTATTAAGTTTTATCGGGTGAGGTTATGAAAGCGTTTGACTACGTAGATTAAATGCCAATTTGGCCTTTCCAGGCTCTGAAGAAGCAGAAACTGGCGTACTGTTGGCTATGTTGGTTGAACATACACTGCAATAACAGCCTCGTGTGGGCCCATCCAGAAAACAGTTCATTATTGATCAATGCCGAAGTTGAAAGAAAGCTGGTGATGGAGTGTTTGCAGAAAAATTTTACCTACGACACAGATAGGAATTTCTGAACTTAATTTTTTTTTAGAAATCGAGTTTACGTTAATCGGTTTTAATTTTGTAGGAATTGAAAGTCCAGATGCAAATGAGTAACTTGCGCACGAAGCCGTTAGGAAAGTACAGATTTTATTGGAAACAAGAAATAAGTGTTAGATACACCACCTTATTCGTCGCGAGACCCATTTCGGTTGCACTGGCTTCATCGATACCCATCGAGATCTGCGTCTGGCCGGGAATCGTGTTGAAAATAACCTCACCATCCCATTCTTCATCACCGACAAACACACTAACCGAATCAGTTCGTGGACGATCAGCTTAATACAAAGAGGTTTGATAATTAGCTGTTTCTTAAATAACCATAAAACCCAAGTTCGCATAGAATTCCTCCTCCTTCCTTCATGTGGCTTCCTATTATTTAACTATATGTGAGTAATTCTTTAGGCGTCGGTTCAACGCCTCTCCAAACCCATCAAGCCTCTTATTCTTTTGTGGAAAGGAAGCCAGTACCAGACTTGTCTGGTCTCCCTAATCCACGTGGGGACGCTCCAGCGCCACTGTCTAATTCCTGAGATAACAGCTCGACCAGCATTCAACGACAGTTGTAACGAAAATGATCAAGCAGCAGCCGAAGCCACGCGCAAAAAATGTTGAAGGATATTAGTAGATGGTGGATCAAAGGAAACGAATCGAATGCAAGAATTCTTGGGATCCACCCAATGTGATACATGTGAGGTCCAGGCATGTATTAAAATAATAAAAAAATACTCTGTATATCAGTGAGAATGGTCTCTGTCCTTTCATAGAGTCGCACATTTCTTATGTTAAAAAAGGATAAAGCTGTCAGCACTGATCAATCCCTAAGAGATGGACCACGCATTCGTTCACTAAGCATCGTTGGAGGTGATCACATCTGTGCACATCTGCGCTTTACAATGACTGGCCGTGGCCTACCGATGTATTGCTCTAGTGCTGCTACCTTTGGAAAACAAGTCTAACATCAATTCGCCGACCTCGGAGGTATGGAAGGCTTGGTAAGCCTCGAGAACGGACATCGATCCCATGTGTATTGTACGGCGCTTGCGACCACTGCTCCACACGCGCAATTTCTTATGTTAGTTGTATGTAATTCCATAAATTTTACTTCCATCAATTAGGGTACACCATTTCGCCTCTCGTCTCGGTCCTAGGTCACTGATTGATTGGTATGCCTCTTCGCCGCCCTTCATCTAGCTATTCATATCCGTTATGGTCTTGATAGAACGATATGCCGCATCGATTTTCTCTGTAACTGTCTTCGCCTTCGACCCCTCTATGACCGTGTATCAATACTGATCCATCAACAACTCATAATCTCCACATCATAATTTCTTCTATCGATCTCTTGTGCTTGCTGTACTTATAAGTTCATTTGTTCCTCTTAACACCTCATGAATCTATTGAAGAACCTTCTCACTTATTGTTAGCGTAACCCCTTACACAAATGAAATGTGCGGCAATAAAAAAGACCTCATGTGGTAGGCCCCAGCACTAGCATCCACCATCAACAAACTAGCAGAGACAGTTTATTCCAGTCTTGATCTATCGAGTTCACTCTACTCTCTCTTTGTCTCTCTACGTGAGTAGTAGAACCTATCAACTCACGCGCTCCAGTAACAGTCTCTTTCAGGGCAACAGTGAGGTTGAGAGCGTTGCCGATACGGACCACGTCTATGTGGTACCAGTTGGTGCGGTCCGTGTTCGGAATGAATAGAATCGAGTGACTGTTAGTCGCCATTCGTGTACCACCGCCAACATTCCAGTGAGCAACAACACGCTTGTCGCGAATCTAGACACTGATTATTAGGAATTTCATTGTTAACCAGTAGACTTCTTTGAAGGATTTTCGCTATTACGTCATGATAAATCAGATTTCATCAGCATAGTGTCAACTTTTCATTTATTGCCTACTGCAATTTCTTACGTGAGATGCAACTACAACGATGCTGAGATATTTGCAAAACTCCAGACAGCAGATGTGTGCGGTGGGGTACGAACGCGCTATTATTCTTTCCGGGGTGTAACGCGTTCACCACTACACCATGCGGGTCCTTCGTTTCGCCTGTCTCTCAGCTAGTTCTATCGATCTCTGCCATCAGCAATCACCCGTTGGTGAAATTGATCTGGGAAGCCCATCTCAGCAACGAACCCCGGAAAGGACAATAGCGCGTTCGTTCCCCACCGCAGATACCTGCGGTCCGAAGTTTTGCCAATATCTCAGCATCATTGAGATCATATTTAGCAATATACCCTGCCATTAAAAAAATAGTAGGCAGTAGATAATAAGCTAAAATCCTAGTACTGGCTGAGAGAAAGGCGAAATAAGGACCCGCATGATGTGGTAGTGAACACGTTAGCCCTCGTAAGAGGTAATAGCGTGTTCGATCCCCAGCGCAGACACCTGCGGTCCAGAGTTTTGCAAATATCTCAGCATCATTGTGGATTTGTCCGCATATTTTATTGAAATGAATTTTTAACTCTGCTTCTAAGTTTTTGTTTAGCGACATGGCGAATTTGAGGAGTAGACGGTTTCAGACGAGCCTAACATTAAATTCTGGAGGTGCAAATGGCTATAGACGTATGGTGGGAGATCTTTTTAGGATATGTAACTACGATTACCTCAATGGCGATAAATTCGCTGGGCTGTGTCCTTCTCGGCTTTGTTCTGGTGACAAAAATTGCACTATTTGGAACGTTTCTCAGTGGACGATAGCGAATAGAGAATGAATTGGACGGTGAGGGATAAGAAGGTGAGGTGAAGGTGCGCCGACAAACACCGCGCTCGTCTGAACGCAGCGAAATGCGTATCTGAAAAAAACAGATCTTTCCGGATATTCCATCGTAAAAGTGTTTGAATTCACAATTTAAACTTTTTCATTCATTGCCTATTATTATTTTCCACGACAGGGTATCATGTAAAGTTTAAGAACTACATAGACGATTAAGGCTACGTTGAGATATTACTACTCGTATACAAATCATAGAAGGGCGTGAAGCGCAGCGGTCAAAAATGCCTTCAAATGCGTATAAGTCGTTGGTTCGGGTCTTCTCTCAAAGAAAACCAAGGCCTAAGGTCCTGGTGCCAAATTTATCTTGGGGTGTAAAAAAAATAGGTTTCATTGCGCAGTGCGCAGGTAGTTTGCGCAAGTGGCTTCATAAACAAAGCATGCCTTTAATTGCCTCTACAATGCTAAATGGAGTCTAATGGATTGTACATTCCTACGAAATTCTTTAATGCCCAACACTTTTGCGCTTTTTAGAAATTCCTGCAGTTTTCTCGACCTAGCACTTTAATTTATTAATAAGTTTCTATGGAATATGCATAAACTCCCAACTCTCGCCAGCTCATGTTTCCGCGGCATCATCGTTTTCATTGATAACCGCAATGGATTCAGGATTCACAACACAGACACATTTGTGTTCTGTTCCACTCCCTTCGATTTGACTTGATGGAACTAGGATAAGACTTAGACACCGCAAAGAGTAACTGCTGTGGTCAGTCGGCTCAAATCTGGGGCCTTTGAGGAAGTCGTTGGCGCCGAATCACCAGTCACCAGAGATTTGCGGCCAGAGCCGTGTAAATTTCGTCAATAGAACTACTAATTGAGCATTCTTACCGAGGTTTAAAGAAAATTAGCACATTTTTTTGAATATAGAAAATCTTCTAGAAATCCTTAGTAAACCACATCTAAAATTTTAAAAAGTTGAGGGTGGTGTCGATCGATTACGTAGGCGCTACTGGTTCAATCGAATACTCTTCCGGCTACGCATACTGTTGTGTACACAGAGTCTATTGACTGAATATGACAATTAAGAGATATATTCATAGGATTAGAGTCGAGAACTCAGAAGAACACATCTAATACTGTATAAATCCACGAATCCCTAGTAGGATTTGGATGGTGATACAAAATTAAACTTCTTGACTTTTAATTCGTTAGGAATTCGGAATGAAGTCATCAGTGAGGTTTAGGGCTGATTTACAAATGTGCGTGATCGAACTACCGAGCTTGCGCATATTCATATGTAAAATTAGCGAAAAGCGAAAAAACAATGCTAGAATGTGAACGAACGAGAACGAGATACTGATTTTCCTAAAACTATTGCAAGATGGTCCTCTACTGTGGTGATACCTTAGCGCGAGTCTCACGACTGCAAATGTTTCGTCCATGACGGCTACGGACAGAGCGTTTCGTACCTGTTGTGCTTTTTCGCGAGCTTCGTTAATTTTGTCCCTTAGCAGTGCCAGTTGCTTCTGCATTTCGTCGGCTCGATTTCGATTGCCAGTGATCACCTTCTCAACTTTCTCCAGTGCTTGCCAATTTTTCTCGAGATCGAGACGAGATTTTCGAACCTTCAAAACACGTTGACACGTCATTCGGTCAAATTATAGGCGAACGCTAACAATTACCTTATCAATGTCTTCTCGAATTCCTTGACCAGTGCTGTTGAGTAGCTTGTTCGTTCGTTCAACGACATCTTTCGCCTATAAGTATGTAGGAGTAAAATAGCGAGCGTTATTAAAATGTGTGCTCCTTCGCTTTGTTGATGTAGTTGGCCACTTCTCTTCGTGGGATTTTATTACGTTTTACGACTTGCGTTGCTTTAAGCCCTCATACAACAGCGAATTTTAATCAGACGGTGACCGCTTCACTATAGTTGGAGTGCACCTTGTTATAAAACCGTACCATATAGCGGGGATTTATACCTCCTTAAGGTCTTCCAAGCTCGAAAGGAGTTCGACATTTACATCTGGATGTGACAAAGAATAAAGCTCCCGATGTTGATCAACTCCTGAGGGATGCGCCATGCATTCGACTTCATTAAGCATCGTTTAGAGGTAATTGAATACATATCTGGCCTTTACAATGACTCGTGGTGGTCTACCGATGTACCGAGCCAGTGCTGCTATCCTCCCAGACAAGCCTTGTGCCTATTTGCCGACTCCGGATGGATGGAAGGTTTGGTGGGCCATGGGCGCGGGGATCGATTCCACGTGTGTGTTGTAGGGCGCCTCCAACCACTGCGGCACACGTGCCTCTAACATACTCAACAATAACGTTAATAATTCTTACACTTTTCAGAAAACACATCGTGACGGTAGGGGTGAGTGAGGAACGCGGAGTTCTAAGAGCAAGAATTCAAAGATATTACCTCTTCAACGAGAGCAGTCGTGGCAGTCTGAACAGCTTCAGCTCGTTTTTCGGCATTCCTCGCAACTGACTGCAATCCAATGGTCCGGTCGTGGTGATCGTCAAATTTAGACCACTGATCTGGAAACCCACAAATAGTTGCAGTTATCGATTTCCTACTTCTCATTCACTTTTGACGTTATCATTGCGTTTGATGGTGTCTATGTTCTGTTCGTTGACAAACACCAATCGCTCGTCCAAATTGTCACGCTCTTGCTCCATAGTCGACAATTCCCACTGTTCCTTCTGCCTTGCAGCCTCTGAATAGTTATGCGTTTAGTCCAAAACCATTCAACAGTAACCAAGTTGCCTCAAGGAATAAAGGACGAACAGAAACCTTCAGCATTTCCCTGACTCTTCTTCTTTGACTCGCCGACTTGTTTCCGCATCGAGTTCTCTGGATCCCCGTCAGCTTCAGCATAGGCGTCTTCGGCAGCTTTCTGTAATACAATGCATAAAAAGAATAAAAGTTTTTCAACCAACGTACTCACCACTGCTTCGTCAGCTGCTCTACTGGCATTGATCAGGGCGCCGGCGATTTCTTCGTAGGCTTGCGAAGCTTTTATCGGATTTTCTGCAGCGGTCTTTGTGTCCTTAAACGAATCCTTCAGCGTTTTCGCAGTTTCTTCGAGCTTCTCGGCGTGTGCATCTGCTTTTTGTACGAATACTTCGTCGTATTCGTCGATCAATTGTGCAAACCTAGAAGGAAATCGCTACACTGGTATGTTCATAAGTACTAGGCTCAGAAAAAAAAGTTTCGGTTTCTACTGTTTGCCATCAATGCCAAGTAAGAACCGTAACGCAAAGAAACAAAAGATTAATGGACTATACGAAATTCCACTAGACCTCGTTATATGGTTCCCGCTATAGAATCTGTTTTTCAAATTTTTCCCCATTTTTAGTTAACTATTTGATATATTTCTTTACTTCTTCACTTTATTTTAAAATAAGAGAAATAAGAAATAAATTTTCCAAAAGCCGACGACCAAAAGTTCAGTTAAACACACATCGTGTACCACACTGCAGGTGAAGGAAAATGACATATTTCACCAATCCTCACCTGATTTTCTCTACTTTGTTAGCGCACTCGGTCAGCTGACATGCCTTTTAAGACATCTTCTTTACATGACAGGAGACCACATATTGTGTGGATTCTAGCACTTCGTGAATTCGATTAATGCCCTCGTAGCCAGCATCCACGAAGATCTTGGAACTTTTGCGCATGGATTCGGCTGCTGATTGAGGAATTGCGTTTTCCACTTGAATACCATAATAGGGCGCGTGTGGCGTAGTGGTTATAGGCGCCTTGTAAGGTACATGGGAGCGATTCCCGCGCCTCTGGCCCACCAAGCCTTTCTGGTTGTGATTAAGAAATACGAGAGAATATACCAAATCATAAATGGGCTATAGATGCCGCCTAAATTCGCAAAGAACCATAGACATTATTCGTCCATAAAGCTCACATCGACGCTCGGTCACGAAATTGTGACGACATCTCAGTCACCTCCTTCAAGGTCTCATTTATGGCACGGCTGTCGTCGAACAGGTTTAGAAGCTCCTGAAACAAATACCTCAGCAGTTTCGTCGCTAGCACGAGACATCACTGGGCGCAAGTCACAACACTACTCACTCTTCCTTTCGCATTCTCGACAGCATTCCGAGCCGCCGCTAAGTTGTCTTCGGCTTCTGCCCGAAGCTTTTCGATTTCATTGCTAACTTCCTAGAAAGTGTATATGCTGGTGATTAATCTTTTTGCAAAATTTGCGCTATTATAGAAGAACAGCTTTTCTCACCTTGTATCGGTTGATTCGCTTAGAAACAACGTTACTCATCCGACTTGTCTCCAATGTGTCACGTCTAGCACTATCGTATATTGTAGCTCTAGAACTAAGCGTTTGACCAGCAGAAGACGATAGAAAGTTGTAGGGTTCGCTACCTATAGTCCTCGAGCCACTGGTCGAACTCTTCCAGACGATTCAGTATGTTTTCAAATGCTGTTTCGTTAAGTTTGTTAGAGAACACTCTCTTCAGAAGTTCTTGATTTTTCCTAGAAGCCGTCGTATTTAGTTATGCTAAATCTTTTAAAAAATAATCAATCAGTACTTGTGCTCTTGTTCGGCTCGATTGAGACGTTTTTCAATGTATTCTCCACGATCCAGAGTAGCATTGTAGTGTGCTTCAGATTCAAGTGCCCACGCATTCAGTGTAGCACCACCAACAGACTTACCTCCATACTAAAAACTTTAACATAATTTTTCACAAATGAACTATGCCTAAATAATTTAGTTCTTCTAGTTATGAATAAGTGATCGAAAACAATAATTCCCAGCACAAGTGAAGAGCTTGTGCTCTTGAAGAAAAGCATCACTTAAAAGCATGGAATCACCAGCGACAGAGGAACAAGAGCAAGCAGTGCATTTGTCAAAGGTCTTCGTGCTATGCACATAACTGCTGCCTCGATCCCGCATCCCAGATTAAGCAAGGTTACCATCCCCTCGAGACTCAAAAAATTGGTACCATATTTCTCTAAGAGGAGAAAACACGAACTTGGCAGTGTTTTAAATTTTATTACCTGCTTATTCTTTTTTTATGGAAGAGTCTCATGTGAAATACAGCCACAAAGACATTGAGCTATGAGCGAAACTCAGATGTGCTTCGAACACGCGATTACCCTTGCCGGGGGCTTACGCGTCAACCACTAGACCAACCGAGGGTCTCGCTTTGCTTTTCTCTCGGACATGTTTTCATTTTTCTCGTAAATCCGCAGTTGCCCGTCAAAGGGAAGGGATCTGGAGAGCATAAATCGGCATTTCAAGCCGAAAGCGCAGTGGTAATCACAATGTTCTAAGTTTTATTTCATGCCCACTCTTTTTTCACTTGATGTATCGGTAGGCACCCACAAGTCATTGCATAGTTCGAATATAACAATCAGTATCACTTCTCGCATTCTATGAATAGAAGCGAATTCATGGTAACAGGGTAAAAGACTGGTAAGTGCCCAATGTTGTGACGTCCTATAGCAACATGCAAAAGTTTCACAGATTCGTTGATACTTAATGCAAATGTACTTACAAGATGGAACTGCTTCAAAAACTGTACAGTATTGAAAACACTGCCGTAAGTGAGCTGAGTATCTGTAATAAGATCTTCGGCTAAGGCAGTAAATTGTTCCAGTGATGTGAGGCTTTTCGTCATTCGATCCAATTGAAAACGAGCCTGAAAAATCGAGTATCGATTAGTTTCGACTTTGCGAATGTTGGTTAGGTATTCTACTGGGTATAAACTTTAAAAATATTGTGAATTAAACTTTTTTCTTAAAAGCACTCGAAAAGAATAAACAGTTGAAAGGACAAACGCATTCAGATATAAAAATATTTGTCAACATCAGGTTTGAACATTGACCAACACCAGTTGAGTTTTCTGAAAGATAAAGATGAATGTGCAAGCTGGAGGTGTAAAATTTTATATGCGGTATTTTACACACGTCTGTAATCTGAGAAAAAAGTCTACTGCTACATTCCGGGAAGTTTTCGTACTTTACGGTATTTATAGATGTTCGTGATTGTAGGAAAAGATCCCAAGGCTACTCTCTGAAGTTTTTTTTACTCAGTAGTATTTCATAGATGCCTGCGATCGGAGAGAAAAATCCCACGGCTACTGTTCCATCCATCTATGAAATATCGTAAAGTGCAATACCTCTATAGATGTCTGGTGTATGATGCGTTAGATAATCAGCTTCATAACATCGGGGATAGAATTTCATTGCGAATCAGAAGACTACAAAATAATGAGGAAAGAAAGATATGCATTATGACTCAAATGAATATTGGCGTGAATGGATGATCCCCTCGTGCGTTTTCCTAAGAAAAATCGTCGAAGATCGTATGAACAACACATGCTTGCACTTCAACAATTCTAGTATCACCGGAATTGGATCGCACGAAAACCTTCTAAAAGATGTCCGTCGCTCTTCGCCTCTTGAATTTTCCTCAGAAAAAGATAGCTTTTTGAAGCAACATGATGCCAGTGTAGGCAGATGCGTCTATTTAATGGACGGTCAACGCTACTACAAGTGCTACAAATAACAGTGAATTCGGACTGTTAAAAATCGTTGTCTCGTTTTCTGGCTGAATAAAGAAAGACAAAATGTCTGCAGAAAAAGGAGACAACTACAAACTCAGCGAAAATATGTATTTTGAAGTAAGGAGGTGACTTATAGTTGATAAACGAAAGTTAGAAAACTCCTTAGAAACGAAGTCATTGAATACCCACCCCTTCTACCACTGCGAAGGCCTCCTTAGCGTATTTGTTATCCTTGACAATTCCACTGACTTCACCATCATCACTCAGTCCTCTCATGAACTCAGAAATCACTGAAACATGGGTATATAAAAGTAATGAACATATGAAAAACCTGGAAAAAAATATTTAGATGATCGCAAGGAATTTATGGGTCTCTTTCAAATGACAGGGTTCGAAACGGCTGGTCGCAAGATTGGGTGATACTACCTTATGTCCCAGATGTACAAATAAATCACAGCAAAACATTATGAATACTACGATCCTATCTCTCTTTGGGTATGGGAAGCGCTTGTCAGGTCAATCTCGGCTGAAGTTGAGGTCGACTACACTGTGTAGTTAACGCATCCTTCTAATGGCAATGCGTGTTGTTTTGCACACCACCGTACTCCGGACCACTTCGTCTATGAATTATGAAATGGCAAACGGTGACAAGGAAATTACTTTAAACTGCTGAAAAGCCATATCATCTTCTCAGGAATCTGAAACCCTGAAAACTCGTAATCTCGTCAAAATGCGAAAGCAACAACATCGACAGTCCTACAGATTTTGAAAGACGGAAAAAGAACTTAAGGAAAACATCGTTACGAAAATGCTCCTACATTCGGTGTTGTTTCCGACTCTCGATAAGCGTTTCCACGGTATCGGCCTTAGATTGCTGAAGTTCTGATTAGCTAATGTTACCTCAAGTTCATCTATCATTGCCATCAACGGCCGATAACACCCTTGATCGCACGCTGAAATAATATGAGAACGTATTTCGTTCAGCTTCAAATTTTACCTAAACAACAATCGACTAAGAATGGATCAAACGATCAAATTTTAAAATAGAAAGCTGGTCTTAAGAATTACAGTATGAAAAAGTTAATAGAAATCGCAGTATAAAATGTTTTCTGCATCATGCAATATCTAGTAAGTCGTTTTAGAAAGTAGTTATACGATTTAAAATACAAATACAGCTTGATAATAAACGTACATGTGCATACTCCACCGATGAAGGCGTGACGAGGTTGACATACGCTGCAGTCTCGACCGGTGACGCCTTCCTTGCACTCACACTCGCCTGAAAGCGGATCACAAGCGCCATGACGCGAACCGTCTGGATGGCAGTCACAGGACTGGCAGAAGCCGTCTGGAAGTGAGGGCTGGCCAAAGTAACCGACCATGCAGCTGGAAATAAATAGGATTAAACTGTTGGAAACTCTATTGCAGTAGTAGTAACAGCCTGAAGCTGAATTTTGCCCTAAATAATGAGCCACAGTGGTTTACTAGACCAGATATTCTACGATTATAGGCTTCGTCGTAGCACATGTAGTGTAGAATTTGAAGCTGTCCTGCTGAAGACATAGTCTTTGGTTCGACCTGCGCACCGAACCAAGTAAGCCTTTCTCTCTCCGAAGTTGGCAAATTGGTATCAGATTTGTCTGAGAGGGTAAAAACAGTTCTGATAAATCGGTGTGTCAAGTGAATGTGAATGTGAAGTGAACGTATGGACCAAATATGCAATCGATCACTTCAGCGACGCTACAAATGGAGTCTAATTCGTGGCATGTTTTTCATGGATTAATCAATGCCAACAGCCTTAGTTTTCATCCTTTATGGATCTTGACAAAAACTGACAGAATTTGCCACGATTAGTCCCTTTAAATATATTATTCTGAAGACTTGGTATAGCCGAGTAGTAAACAATGCACAATATGGCGCATACTAACCTCTCACAGTACTGTCCAGTGTAACCAGGTTTGCAAGCATTGCACACATATCCCCTACCGTAATCGACCGCAACGCAGGTGTCACTGAACCCACATGCCAATAAATAATAGATAGACAAGGTTGCAAAAGTTTGTACAAAAGCAACATGGCAGTGCTACCGACGTGAATCGTACCTGAACGAATTTTCAGCCAATGGACAGGCACATTTTGTGCACGCTTTAGCACCGCCTTCACGTGCGTCGCCAATATAACCGCTTTTGCACTGATCGCAATGATCACCGAAAGTGTTGTGTTCGCAGTCCTGTAAAAGTCGTCCACTTTAGCAGCCTTTTCATTTGCATCTCTTTCAGACTGGTCTTCCCAGTAGGAGAGTAGAATGGAGAGATTTCCATTGAAAGCTCACATACCGTACAGACACATGTTTCCGGATGGCAAGTAACGGAGTGACCATGACAAGCGCACGGTTCCGACCAACCAACTAGTGCCATATCGTCTGGAGAATTTAGGTAGTCACTGAAAACACGGTTCCTCATCCAATTACGGTATGGATGGTTTTTACTTGTTTGGTTGTCCAGCAAAAAAAATTAGAAAGTAACATCACATAACTAAGCGAAAAGAGGTTGTCAGCTGTGTAATGGCATGAAATACGAATAAAGTATTCTTCATACCGTTGAGAACAATTCGCAGCTTTTATTTTGTTAAAAAATCATCGACGTAAAAATTGGAACACACCGTTGCTTTTTTCTACAGTATCCTGGAGCAGGATTTTGGCACGATGCACCGGTGAAACCTTGTGGACATTCAGAACACTGCTCGACGCCGATTGCTATAGAAGCAGGGCGATCTGACGCAGCGGGTACGGCGACGTCGAGCGAGATCTTAAATATGAAACTATAAACATGCTGGTTCAAACGAGTGCTCTTCAGACCCAAGAATACTATTTGTACTGGATTTAACCCATTGTGGCTCTCTCGTCGACGACTCACTCGAAATGGAGTAATCGCACGTTAAGCACCATTACTTTCATCATGTATTCCCAACAAGCGTGTAACAATACTGTTAAAGGTGCCTTACAAAACACACATAGTTGCTGGTTCGGTCCAGCGTCACAAGCATCCCTTCGGGATCGAAGAAGTGGTGCCAACAATGAATTGACAGTACCCAGGATCGACTTTCTATTAACCTCGGTATTGGATTATTGTTGGCGTTAACATTCATAATAAATACCACCGAATACTCTTCGTCATCAGTTAGGTCGGAACCGCCTATATGACCGTCCATGTGGAACACAAAATTGCGCAATCTGCCCTCATGGCAAGGACGGTGACTGCGTGAGTTCAGGTATGATATACCTGATCTCCTGTGGTACTTGCGGAGGCGAATATATTGACGAAACGGGCAGACCCTTATGCATCCGTATAAAAGAACATCTAGATGGTAAACGAAAATCAAAACAAGACACGCCACTAGGGACGCATAGGATACAAAAGCATAGCGGAGACGATTTTGATATAAAAGTCACTATCCTCGCACGGGAACCTAAAACACCAACGTGCAAACTCCTCGAGGCTTTTTGGATAAATACCAAAAATCCTACGATGAATAGCAGGGAGGAATGGTCCGAGATCCCGCCCTGTACCTTCATATCGATCGTTGATGTGGGGAGGTGCAGTCGTCAACCATATGCGACTCTGAACGGCTGTTATTCCTCGGTGGAAGACAGATGAAAAAAGCGGTGTGTTTTTCGAGAACCCGTAGATCTGGTAATTATCGTGCAGATTTTCGTCTTTCTGTTTGTGTTGTTGAAGCGCTTGACCTAGTAAGTTGCGCATTAGTGTACTCTTCCACGCTCTGAAGAAGGCGATTCTGCCGAAACGTCAGCTACGATTGTGTTGTATGAATGAATTGATACATCGCTAGGCCAGGCATGCTGTCGTAGAGATCATTATATGCTTGCAGTCACCTGTACGGTGGTGAACAGAGTCGAATGCATAGCGATCCTAACGGATAGATTCCCGAACTTTTCGCAATCTTTCTTCCTAAATACTAAGTGGTTTCCTGAGCTTTTAATAGATGTTTTCATAACGTTTTGACGGTTTATGTCACCATGCGTATTTAATGGACAAAATGTAAGAATTTTCATTTTTTTTTCTTAAAATTGGTATAATTCTGCATAACTCTGATATACTTGGTTTATTGCGAAATCTTATGAATCAGGTGCTGCTGAGACAATCACATTCTGCCTCGTCAATTCAGTGGAGTACGAGAGAGCAAGTCTATTTCCGTTTACCACCGGCTCTTTGGAAATCAAGGAGAAATTTCTATCGACCTGCGAGAGTCACTACTACCACCTTCTCCTCTGCAGAGTTAGCTCGCTGGAAATAAAGGAAAAGTTGCTGACGACGTATCGCGAGAGGCATTGCTAACAGCTTTACTTCTACAGAACGAGATCACTAAGGATGGAAAAAAGGTTACTGAAGCTCGACTGACATTTCCGCCACCTTCTTAACTGTTTCAAGAGTGTCGTTAGAGACGAGAAAGAACTTGCCAACAGCGTCCTAGAGACATTGTCACCATGTTCTCGTCTAGTGCTCACCTCACTCATTGAAATCGCATCACCTCTTCCTGGATAGTTGTAGGTTCCGCGGATGTAAATTCCTTGGAGATTCTGCAACGCAATCATCATCTGCTTTCTAGTCACCGGCAATTCGGGAGATTGCCGTGAGTGCCACTCGGATTCGTGCAGTCGAACCTGAAAGTAAATGCGATAAACGACAGTTTTCTATTTTTCTTTTTACGTTCGCACACAGAAAAGGGCTTGCTTATCTAAACGCGTCTATTCCAACTGAGGTGATTTTTTCCTTTTGAAGTATTTTTCATTCATTTGTCAAAAGGTTTATTTTGTCCATTAATAATAAGAGGTTTGCAGAACATTTTTCATGGAAGATCACTTATGAAACAACTAAATTTACTTGAGCAAAATGTTTTGTAGGCCTTAAGTTCGCTGAATGCGCGCGTATGGCGCAGTGGTCGGAGGTGCCCTGTGACACACATGGGATCGATCCCTGCACCCATGGTCCACCAAATCTTCCATTCTTCCGGGGTCGGCAAATTGGTACCAAACTTGTCTAGGAGGATGGCAACACTGACTCGATATATCGGTAGGCTACCGTGAATCATTGTAAAGACCAGATTTGTATTCAATCATCTCCAGCGTTGCTTATTGAAGTCGAATGGATGGCGCATCCTTCAGAGGTTGATAAACGCCGAGAGTTTTACCCTTTTTATCTTTTTAAGTCCGCCGAACGACATTTTAAAGAAATTTAGAACTGATTAGGTGTCCATCGATGAATGGAAATGTTTCGTCCTCATGAAATTATAAGAACAGTAACCTCGGTTTTAAACTTATTATGTACCGCCTATTCTTTTTAACGGCAGGGTATACATTGCGAAATCAGCTTTAATCATGCTGAGATATTTGCAATTGCTGATGGCAAAAAGATCGATAAAACTAGCTGAGAGAAAGTCGAAGCGAAGGACCCGCATGGTGTGGTGGTGAACGCGTTACTCTCCGGAAAGGACAATAGCGCGCTCGTTCCCCACCGCAGGCGCCAGGAGTCCGGAATTCTCGACGTTCCTGTTGAGCAAATATGAGATGCTATTTTATTTTTCATTCTGTTCAAACTGACGTTTCGGCAGTATCGCCTTCTTCTGCGTCGTTTTCACGTGCCTTCGACTGATTAAGAACTTCTTTTCACTTCATGAAGGCACGTAAAACGACGCTGAAGAAGGCGATACTGCCGAAACATCAGCTTTAACGGAATAAAGAATAAAGTAATACCTCGTGTTTGCTCAACAGAAATATGGAGAACTACAGGAACAGTTAGGTTTGAAAAAAGTAGGTATTCAAAACAGTCAGAAACAGGAAATCTTGGCCGAAGAGCTGCGACGATTTACTGCATAGCGCTTTTAAAAGGTTACTATGAGAAAACTTCATTATTTTTTTTAACTTGCCTATTGTAATACCTTCCATTCTCGCTGTTATTAAAAGAATTATCACAAATCACGTGTTCAGTGCCGATTTGTTTTACCCAGATCAATCCCGTTGACGGATGATTGCTGATAGCACCAATAGGGTAAAACACAGCTGAGAGAAAGACGAAATGGAATGATCTGCATGACGTGATGGTGAATACGACAGCACCCGGAAAGGGTAATAGCGTGTTCGGTCTCCACCGCAGACCCCTGCGGTCAGGAGTTTTGCAAATATCTCAGCATCATTGCGGCTATAATTCACATCGTATCCTGCCATGAACAAAAGAATAGGCAGTAAACAAAATGTGACTACATTATCACAAACCAGTTTTTTTTAAAAACAAGAAGGAAACAAAAACAGTGTGTCAGAAGTGCCAGAAAAATCTTTATCCTGTATTTCTGAAAATTTGGTGACTATTATAATGACCATGAAATTTTTTTTCATTTTATTTGACCCGTCTTCACGTCTACTGTGCGGATCTCAGCACTTTTCGCATTTGATTCGCTTCCTCGCGTCCATTGTCCACGAAGATCTTCCAATTTTTACGTGTGCTTTCGGTTGCTGCTTGAAGAATTCCATTTCATCTTGAATCTTGTGGAATGCTGATCGAGCAATTTTCCCTGGAGTCTTGAAATAGTCGGGCTGAAGCGTTCCCAGTTGGATTGCAGAGGGTGATTTTTTCCCGGACAAGTCCGATACCAATTTCCCAACTCCAGAGGGATGAGAGGCTTGGTTGGCCCGGAGTGAAATCGAACTAGAACTATGCTCGTAATGAAGGACATCACTACCACTGTGCTATCCGCCCTTTCATGAAATATGTACGAAGGTAAATTTCAAAAAGCCATTTACTTTGTATTTCCCGTCCTCCATAACGGCCATCGGAATGTGTTCCAGCTCGATACGATTGTTGCCGACCAATACCACCTAAATGATTGTATACTAGAAACACCTAAACATCTCAACATATTCGGGCCAACATCAATTTGTGTGAAATTACATCCTTATACTCATTGCAGTGTGCATCGATTCTGCTAAGCTTCGTATTAGTAACAGTTTGAAAGAGTTGATGATGGGAACCTAAGCTTTTCCTAGACGGAAATGGAATTCCGTCTCAGTTTAGAATGAATCCCTAAAAGCTACTGACTTGCGCAAAATAACGAAAGTATTGGTTGTTGGGCCGGATTCCTTCAATGCCACGGCGATTGTCCTCATTCCAGATCTGAAAGCATTTACAATGTTAGTTGCTTTTTCTTGTTTAATATTTCACTAATCAAATCTTAATTGGTTAAAGAGCTACCTTGAAGAGCTACCGTAATTATACTTGATACCGTAATTTCCAAATCTGTTCACTTAACATGTCGACTACTCTTGATCAACTTCGCATTAAAAATAACAGTAGGGAACATAAAAGGTATATGGCACGAAGAAATATGTTACTGTACAAAGATGACCATTCCAACCGAATATATACTACAGAATAATAATATATAATAATGTAATGTAGGCATAATATAATAATATACTACATTAATGGCATAGTACGAAACGTTCAAGCAGGAATTAGACAGAAGAAGGAATGAATCACGCGCCACATTCAGGCCTCTCAAAGAAATTACCGACCATCGAACGAATCCAAAATTCTGCGCTCATCTTTTCGGTTCAACAGTCTTCCGAGCGCTCCATATTGCAGGAGAGACGTGGGCTAATACCTCAACCACGTCAAGAATACTGCGCGCCACCTACAGTGCTTGAACGATGTCTTCCGAAATTTTACTGGCACTCACTACGTCTAGTCGGAATGCGTAACTCAGATCTTCGGAACTTACCCAATCTTCGAGATGCAGCAGAACATATATTCATAGCGAAGCACAGAGGGGCTGGTCACATAAAAAGAATGGGTTTCGCGGACGTCACCATGTTTGAAACGGACCACCAGACTACCACCAGGGGCGACACTAGCACGAGAGAGAAACGGGTGGAAATAGTGCTGGGGCACCGAACTACCAATGAAGACGGGCCATCCAAGTACGTTAGTGTCTAAGTAAGTAAATACGAAACGTTAACAATCGAAGATCAAAACATGTGTTAACTTCATGTCAACTCATAAAAGAGTTCGCAAAGTAACTACTCAATGTGAGCATCACAAACGATTATGAGAAGATTTTCTCTCATTAGTCAAATAATAGGGAGCTGTGTAGACCAATGGCAGTGATAGCGATCATTACGAGCATGCTGCTGTTTCGGCTCCGCTCCGGAACTCACCAAACATATGCTCACTCCTGGGTCGGAAAATTGGTATCAAACTTGTCTACAAGAAAGAGCCCACTCTCCGCGATCCAAGTGGGAACGCCCATCTCAGGACTCCAGCAAGAATCGACTTGTCCAGCATTCAACGACATTCGAAACTAAATGAAAATCCTCAAGCAGCATCAGAACCCGCATGCGAAAACGTCAAAATTTTTAAAGAGATTGATGCGATGAAGCGAATAGAATGCAAGAATTGGTGGGATCCGCACAGTGGATGTAAAAGACGGTCGTGGAAAAAAGTGTCAAAAAGTAGAAAAGGAGATGCTTAGCGCAGTTGTAGTGCTGCATTCATCACAAGCAGTGCTAGTTCGACCCCATTCAGCGCTTACCAAGCTTCTCATCCATCCAGGGGTGAGAAATTGGTACCGGACTCGTCTGCGGGTATCTTGGTCTCCAAAATCCACGTGGGAAGCTTTAGTTCGGTTATCATAAGATTAAAGATAGAATCCACTCTATCAGCATTCAACAACATTCATAAAGAAGATAACAGTCCTCAAGCAGAAGCCGAACGCACAGGAAAAAAGTTCGAAGACGTTCGTAGGTGATTGATGTGAGGAAACAAATCGATGCAAGAAGCACTTGGATCCGCAGAACATATGTGATAGCGAGCTATGTAAAGTAAAGAAAGAGAAATAAAAAAATTATTGAAGTTTACAGCACCTTACCGTAATATGTTTCCCAAACGCAATGCATAAACTCATCTGAGCCTATGCAGTTTCTTCAAAAAGAAAAGCATACTAACCCTGAATCGAAGGAATCCGTTGTAACTGGATGTTCTATCGCCAAGCATCGACTTAGGTAGGGGCCAGTACAATGGCACCACATCAGTGGGATAGCTGTTGTATCGAGTTGGATGTTCCTTAAAAATCAGCCGATATCAATTTCAACTCAGTGTGAGGATGATTTTGACTACTTAACCATGCAAGCGCGGAATACATGGTGGTTAGAGATGCTATACAACAGTAAACACATTACTAGCTGGACCACGCCCCAGGCCAATGATGCCTGTCTTCATCACTTAGACGAAAGCAAACTTGTATCAGTAATGTCTGAAAAGAGCATTCTCCGATCGACAAAGGCCCCTGAATCTCCTTATAGTAATGAACTGGGAATGCATTATCAGGGCTTTCTTATGCTTCTAGGGAGAATCCATTACAACAGAGTCATGAAGAGATAGCTAAACACACATGAAAACCCAAAGGTTTGCGTGGAATATTGATGTGAAACAACGGAGCGAATAAAAAGTGTTGGGCCGCGCACTGCATTTGGTGCCGGGTCATATGAATAAACAAAGAAATAACCTTGAGCAGATTCAGATTATGCTTCTTTGTGTAGTATTCCCATGGCTCCTCAAAAACCGCTCGTCGATCTTCACCATAGGTTTGTTGCCAAACAAGCGGGCTTTGTTCACATATGTTGGTCCTAAAAATTCGACATGCCCCTAAGGTTTATACTATTCAGTGAAGTTCATTATTTTAAAACACATCTTTAACAGTATGAAAAATTGGAAACTTTCTGGAAAACTCCAGAACATTTCCAAAAGTCTGAAAATTTTCACATTCCCTCGGTTGCCTTCAAATTTAATGTGTTAAAGTATACGATATCTGATAGCTTCACCTATTGAAACAGAAACACTCGGTACATCCAAGACGATTTGATGCTTCTAAGCTGAAAGTACCCGCCTTGCAGTGATCGCACTTAGCACCTTGCACATTTTTCTGTGAAATAGAAAGGAATACCTTAGACGTCAAGGATATATTTGCCGCAAAGGAACCAGAAAAACAATGATGTGACAAAAATCGAAATTCAAAAATTCGATTGATAATCGATCACCTTGCACGGGCATTCGCCGTCTTCGTTACAAAGACAGAGGCCATCTTTGCACTGGAGGGGATCCGTACCGGCCGGATTGCACTCACAAGACTTACAATTGGGGAAGCCGAAAAATCCATGCGTACATCGGTCACACCGCAACCCAACATATTCGTTACGACATTTACACTACAAACAACGCTATAAGGAGATAAGATCGGCGATAATCCAATCGATCGTCTCAACAAAAGAACTACCATACAATTATTTTTAACTAGAAAAGTCTAGGGTAATGTTCTGAGTTTCCTTTTTGTAACTCCGACGACATTGGAACAGCATTTAGTTTAAGAGATCTTCATCGATTTCTCTGAGGTAATGAATAATTTCCCAAATTACCTTAAGACTGGGGCGATAATCAATGGAATCAATCAATAATTCACAGTTTTTAAGCAAATTGAGGGTAATTCAAATGTTAGGATCAATTATTTATGTAGTAAGTGTTTACTCAATCACTTTTTACGTTGCATTGTTCCCTAATTCGCAATAACAATGCAACGGAGTGAACAACCCGCATCTCAGAAGCGAAAACCCAACATGGACAAACCTCAACGAAATCGAAATTCGATTATCGATTTCTCTTGATTGTGGTCGATGTTCACAATACTATTTATTTTCTCACAAAATTCATTTTGTGCATAACAAATGACAGATCTATCGATCAGCTCACCTGTCCGGTATGCATATCACATTTTCCATTGCTACTGCCGACATCCGAACAATCACACAGCTTGCATCCTTTCAGTGGATGATAGTCCCAGGCATTTTCCGTGCAGTTCTCACACATCTCCCCCACTGTATTCGGCGGACAGACGCAATCACCCGTGATGGGGTCGCACACCTGACCCGGAGCTGGACACGCTTGGCATTCTGGAAAAAAGACCAATCTTTTCAAATCAAAAGTCTAAAATATTTCTTTAGCAACTTTTCGAAAGCACTTTATTAAAATAAAAGGTTTTTCTCTTAGAATTTGACTTTGACATCAATTTCAAAAGCATTCCGGAAAATCTTAAAAGAAATTGGTGAAGCTCACTCTTGAAAAAAAAACTTTTCGAAAACTACGAACTCTACATTTGCTTAAGAACATGTTCCCTTTCAAAGTCGGAAGGATAGCAAAATTGCCACTGTTTCTTGTGAACGTTTGTCGCAACAATGGTATGCTACCGTTTAGTTTGGACATTCACGTTTTTGAGTACACGACATGCCTTTGCAGCCGCTCTCGTTCAATCCATAGTGATTCGGAAGACATCGGTCGCATTTGATGCCATTTACTCCCTTCTTGCAGACACACTGGCCCGAGTGCAGGTCGCATGCTTCACCATCTGATCCGGTGCGATCGCAATTGCATGCCTGTTGAGAACGGATTAAGCTATTCAGTCTTCAACAGTCATCACTTTCATTTACCTAAGTTTCTCGCTGATAAGCAGTTCGTTTTGAATTAACAGCTTTCGCGTATCCTACAGTAATTCGAATAAGGGTGCCGATTATTGCAAAGCAAGTGGAAAACGAATAAATACTCAAGAAAAAAGAGGAGTGGGCAACGATATATAGAATATACAAAAAAATTTTTACATATTTTTCAAATCCAAATGGGTTTTAAAAATTTGGAATAAGTTACGCTTCTGGTTTTGAATCATTTTCTAGATTTTTTGCTACCAAGGCCGATTTACAAGGGACCGTGATATAGCGGGAAGACTTGACGGCAAACTGTTGAGAAAAGCACTAAAACGAACTCCTAGAAGATTCAAATGCCCTCTAAGAAGACCAGATACAAAGTACGAGAGTGTTTGTAACTCACGGCAACCAGCTCTGTTCACCAAGGTTTTCCAACTTGCATGACATACATGAGGAGGAATCGGAACACTTAGGCAGTTAAAACAAGCGTATAAATTGATTGGGTGTTTGATTCCAAATCATCCTGGATTGTTAGCCAATACAGCGGCGATGAAGGAATCTTATGCTTGCCTGACATCCGGTCCCGCTAGTGATGTTGAAGAATCCACTAGCACATTTCTCGCACATCGTACCGTCCACATTCTCACGACATTCGCATTTCCCAGTTACATTGTTGCACTAAACAGTACTATGGAGAAAAAATACGACACAGCAACAAGGAAAAGTATATGAAATTCAGTAGGATTAAAAGTTGCACATGTTATTTAATAGATAAAAAATAAAAACCTAAAAACCAAAAAATAAAAACTGGCTTGTAACAATAAATAGTAATCAAGAAAATAAACAGACCCAAAAAAGCTGTTATTCAGCTCCCAATTAGTCATGAGACAATTTGTCTAGGCTTAAACACGTTTAATCAGGTTTCCACACCTGACTTTCCATCAGTGTTTCTATTCATATTCTTTCTCCCAACTGTTTACCGCCTCATCGTGCCTGAGAGGTGTTCCTGGGTGTCGGATTGCGACTTACAGCAGGGTCGCTGTAGCTGAGGGAGTCCGGCGTTTCCACCAGGAAGTCCAGCCAAGAGAAACCAATAATGGGATCCACCGCCGTCCTGGTATCAAAGTCGCATGGTGATAAATCTCCCTCTGATCCACAAGGGCTGCGATTGCCTGTGGTGGTGACGACCTGGGGCAGACTTTGATCAGGCTGACCTCGGAACTCCAAGAAAATACAATGGCTAAACGAGCAGAACTCCGAAAAGTGGAGAATGTGCTGGGGTCCGCGCAACCAATGAGTACAGGCCGTCCAATCAGCCAAGTAACTATTAAGATGATATGTATTCTTTCTTGATAAGCTTACACGAGGTTGATAAATATATTTATTTTCGGCTAACGTTTCGACGTCTTCGTCT